TAGTTATTTTCAGACGTATGCGTATGTGTTTGTCAGTAGTTTTTTGCATTATTTTGTATGCCTTAAATATATTGTTATAACGACGAACAAGCGTTTTATTAATTAATTTTATCTTTCCATCTTTTCCAATCATTTTTGTATTGGCAACCACCCACCCGTATATACTTAAGTAAAAATATTAATGAAATGTTTATTTAAATCTAAATAACAATTTAAATGTACAATATTAAATTTGAATTCCAAAGGGAGGGGGGGCAAATTCACGTCTTTCCACCTTCTCCGGGCACCAATATACGTATAAATAATAAATATGTTAAAATTATTATGACTGTATAAGATGATACCATCATGCATTCATGCCTCGTCATTGGCGAGCTGCAGATTACAAGCAGAATAAAACATATCAACAAGTATGATTAGGTACCAAGTTTAATAAAAAGTGACTAACGACAGCGGATAAGTGTTCGCTTCTTCGCTTCTGCACTAGTGAGACGACTAGACGAACAATATTCATAAAGACGAAAACATAATATTAGTGTACGACAATTAGACGAGGAGAATGTTTAGCAAACTAATATACTGAATTATTTTAAATAGGCACGCATATTTGGTTATATAACTAAGAGTTTATTAAAGTAATTGCAGTGTTTTTCTAAACATGATTGATGATAATATATCATAATAATTTATTAAATAAATATTACAATTATAATATAATATTCGTATTATTTTTTTTTCATTTATATTAGTACATCGTGAATTATACATTTTTATGTATTTGTAAATGTTTTCTTTATTTTATACTTTGAATTTTGAAGAGTTGTAATTGAGAATTTTCATTATTTTGTGTTTAGTGTTTACGTATGATTATATTTAATTTTGTAATAATTAAATAATTTTTTATTGGTAACTCCGTATTACAGTCTATTGTTAATATGTTATTGTCACCCATCAAATAAAATAATATGTTCTAAAAACCTCTGCCCACACCGTTCTTTTTTTGGCAGGTAGTGTAACTAATAACTAAAAAGCGGATTTTTAGGTTCTTAAAAGCTTAAAATATGATGCTAATATACTCTAAAAAAAAACCCTAAAATATTCTTTAAATATTCTTTAACCTTGTAAATATGCAGATAATATGATTTTTTTTTCCAAAATAGTTCAAAAATAAAACAATAAATAAGTTATGCACCATTCTTTTAGTAGTTTAGTAACAGGTAAAATATTTAATTATAAAAGTAAAAACAAATATTTATTATTAAAAAATCATTTTTATCACGTTATCAGTTATCAAATATATGATAGTCAGCACTCGGCTATGATACAATCACGAACTGAGAGTAACAAAATGACCAACATTACCAAATTGATAACAAACAAGTAGATACCTAATAGAATGATTTTTAATTTTTATCATTTCTATATTAAGTTATTTTTTTTCCTAGCAAAAATTGTTGCTGGAAAAAATCATAAATCGAGAAATTAACAATATATATGATTTTTACGAACAATAATAGATTATAATTTATAATCTAAAATATGAAAAATACACTAAATGTTCTTTGATATACAAAATAATTTTTTTTTTCATAAATTTTGTGATGGATAAATCATTCACAAAGCTAATAACAATATGTAAAAACCTAAAAATCTGCTCTCTACTTATAACACTCATTAACAATAATCATTTACCACGCACACATAGTAATGCACTAGTACGGATAGCACGTACGTACTTGTATTATGGACTATACTGAATTCCTTGAAAACTATCTGTTTGAAATCCTTCATATGTTAACTTCGTCTTACCAATGTACATACACCGCAGATAATTTGAGCTCAGCAGAATGAATTTTATGGTGTTTGCTTTAACAGTAGGATGAATTTACTTAATAAACAACTTAACAGTAAGAATATTATCTAGGGGCTAGGCCGCTAGGGCATCGCGTATTCGTGTAGATTTTTATTGATATTTTAATTTTAAAGTGAGTTATAGCTATGTAAAATATTAAAGCTTTAAAATTCTCATAACTTACTTTAAAATATCAATAAAAGCCTACGGTGAAGTCCTAGATAATATTCTTACCTTTTGGTTTATAATAGTCAATAGATCATTTGACTCTAATATTAAAACTAACGGCATAAAAAAGATTTTTCTGAACTCAAATTTGCTATTGTGTACGTTAATGAGACGAAGACAGCAAATACAGTCGATGCGGGTAAGGCATCCAATTAATTAATAAGAATGATAATCGTGTGCAGTAGTAATTAAATAATTCAAACGGATGACGGAGGGAAAGGTTATCTGTTGAAATCGCACTGTACCGTCGCCGATAAAAAAGTTGGTCGATAAATTAATAATTATATAAGTATAGTACCATACATATTATATTAATATATTATGTATCATTGAATTGATAATGATGACATTCCTAACACAATAATTTAAATTTAAAAAATTTATTTTAATGAACTGCTTGAAGGCTGTAGCCTAAAAGCGCAAAAAAAAACAATAATTTTTTAACAAACCATAAGCGCAAATAAATTTTATAAAAATAAAGTGTATTTTATCAAAATTATATATTTATCTATCAAACTTTTACAGTGATAATAAAATGAGTTGAACATTTTAAATTAAAATTACATATTGGTATAGTCATAAATATAACTATAATAAGCAGTGATGCCGACTTGTATTTTATTTAGTGTGACAAAATATAAAAATTAGTTACCATCACTGACCACTAACTTAGAGTTAAATAATGACCGACCACGTCGTGTCAACATTTTTATATTAAAAATACAACCATCACAAAGCCGATCGCTTCACTCGCAATTTATCACAACCTATTATGTACCTACTAATAATTAGTAAATAGTTATTATTTACCCATTTTCAAATACCTAACTGTTTTTTACTCTCTTATGATTATCAGATTATATATTTCTAATTTATGATTTTATAATAACATACTGATACATATAAAATATCAATACTATACAGCCTACAGACTACAAGTATTATTGTTAAACCTACATTTTTAGTATTTCTAACACTTCATTTTTATTTCTTTTTTCTCTATGTTGGTCAATAAGTGTTTTTCATCAAAAGTCAGAGTATTCAAAAATACAACTTGTCATTATTAATATCACTAGTATCAAAAAAAAACAACTAACAAAGAATTAAGACAAAAATAATTATTATCATATATATATTATTCTTAAAAAAAAGCTTTATGATATTTTACTAAATGATATCTAACAGAATCTTTTTGTCTACTGATATTGATTTTAAAATATACTGTAATACTGAATATATTTAGTTAAATATAGGGGCGAACCGCCCCATAAAAGTATGTGTTCGGCGCCACTAGTAATAAATAAGTACCTTAAAATTAAATTTGAAATTTAAAGCCCACAGGCCACAGTTATGTACAGTTAACACCATAAGTATGTCCAGAACGAAGACAGCAAATCATAATATTGTTATTCAAATAAATGATCAATATATGTAGTTGTTTTCATAATAATAGCTTAGTAAGTACGTAGGTGTTTAATCTTTATTTTTGTAAACAATTTTATGTGGTATTTTTAATATATGTATATAATCTGAAACCAATAGCAACCATTTAAATAAATAAAAAATAAAAATATTAGATTTTCGTGATCAAAAATTAAATTTATGTATGAACCACTCTATATAGAACCTTTAGTAATTGAAATAATAAGCTATATAAACATAATAAATACTTATTGACTATCGGGGAATTTTTTGATACAACTTTTACTGATAATTGTCAAGTAATTTAAAAGTTATTTGATAACTTATAGACAAACTTAAATAGTAAGACAAGGGTCGCTAACTCTTTCAATTAAGTGAGCTATTTTCGAAATTTTAAGTCTTTGATGTTTAACATCTTTAAGTCCAGAAGATTCATTTGATGAGCAAAAAAAAAAAAAGATCAACATTCGTTAACAGTCAAGTTATTGTTATTATAATAATTACTATAAGTTATAACTATTATAGATTATTTATTACGCAATCGACCGATAATGGTAAATTTAATGTGTATTGGCGATCGAATTATAATTCTTAGAAAGATCGACTGGTTAGTGATCTCTGTACTAAGATGATATTAAAATTATGTTTTAAATATAACATTTTATATAATTGTATTCTTTATCATTGAATTCATATTTAAAATGTTGATTGCTGTGGTTCAAATGGACCTAATTTTTCTTGGTTTTTATATTATGTATATTTTATTATCAAAATTATATTAAAATTTGATTAAAATATAATTCATAGCACTCATTATACCATAACATTCCTGAAATCATATACAATACATGGTACGGGATAATTAAATCCGCTTCACTTTTTTGATTTGTTTTATTCTTTTTCATTTTTTTTTGTTTTGTAGTTATAGATATGCTTTGTACCGGTTCTATTATATCATTTATCCATTTTCTATAATAATCGATGAACATGTAAACAGTCTGCATGTCTTCACCTTTGAAATTTATTGAAAAACTGCATACTCCATATTGCAAGCCATTGCAAATCATTGGACCACCGCTGTCTCCTTCATACGTTTTGTGCTTGCTACTTGGTATCTCACAGATATATTGTTGCCATGTATCTATTATTTTAACACTATTTTAACACGTAAATTTTGTAAAATATATTGACTGAATTATCTATATTTATTACCTATCGTATCCTTCACAGGTTTTTCTACCGTGTTTAACCATAATTTGATTAACAAATCCTCCATGTTCAGCATTAGTACCAAACCCAATAACAATACACTTCAGACTTTTGTTATTAGCGAATTCAATAGAAGAGCCACCTATTCTTATATATTCATCGATATGCGAAAATGGTTTTTCTATCTAAATACAAATATATAAAAAAAAAATAATATTTCTAAGTACATTTACATATAATAAAAAAATACTATTTTTTTAATTATAGAATAACATTGTAAATAATATAATTACAAAATGCATACACAATTAAAATATAAAAATTTATAAGGCGATCATAATAGAGTTTGATAATATTATATAATATATACTTATTATTACATATTATGGAGCATATTATAAGAGATTAATTGAATAAATTATCTTTAGACGTGTATGGTTAAAACCAAGTTCAAAGGTGTCTTAATATTTTTAGTAAATAATTAATAAGAAAAATGCGCAAACTTTTAAAATACTAAGATCTCCAATCATAAATTCTGATGTATGATTATAATTTTCGTGTATGTACAGTTTAACTACGTTTCGCGAATCATGATTTTTTATCCATGTACCTTGATATACCTGTATAAACATGGAGATTATAATTTATGGTTACAATTTATTTACAAAAATGTAGTTCGTGCAGGTCTGTGGATAATATAATACATGGTTTATTAATTACTAAATAAGTAATGCTACGTATAGAGGTATATTTACTTTTAAATCCTTTTTGTCTTTACCGTAAACACAGTGAGCAGCAGTCAATACAAACAATTCTGTTACCAGTGAGCCTGTGCAAGTCTCTACCTTTTTATTAAGTAACAATATTTTTAAAGACATTACATACGGATAATTTTCAAGGTTAAAAATGTTGTCATCATCCATAAGTACTTTGTGTTTATGCTTGGTCGACTTAAGTTCAAATAATGCCACCTTAAACGACAATAATATTATAATGAATGCAAATCGCATCGTGTTTTAAATTATGGCTTTTACGTAACATTTATTACTAATAATTTATTGTGTACAGTTAAGACAGAAAATATTTTTATTGTCATGACAACATAACTATTTAGAAATGTACGTATATTATACATCTATATATACATTGTTTAAATACCTATTCAATAATCCTTGTATATATATAAAAGAGCAGTCTTTTTTTTATGTTCCCGTTTTATGATGACACTATTTAACATTTTTCCAATTTTTTTTTCGTAGAGTTGTTTAAAATATGTTTCTGAGTATCTCTACGTTGTCCGATTTTTCATTTTCTTTCCCTAATGAGAGGGGGAGGGAGAGGGGGATTATATTTTGATTGTTTCCATTTTATGACAACACTATTTAACATTTTCTCAACTTTTTTTCACTGAGTTGTACTAAATACTCCTATGAGTTATCATTATATTTTTGTTTTATTTATAAATCAGCTACTACTACTATTTATCACATGATAAAATTAAGTAAGATTTTGAGAAACATACGTGCGAAGCCGGGTAATTCAGCTGTGGTATAATAAATTTAGATTATTCGCACCAAACATAGCTTTATTAACGGATTCCTCAAATTGTGTACCATTTTAAACTGAAAAAAATTCTACACTAATTTTATAAATAAGAAAATATAAAATATATTATTTTAATTTTTAATCACCCACTAAACGTTTTTTATTCCTTTTAATCATATGTCCTCCAAGTGATGTGTCACAGTTCTATTAATTTTTTACATATCGTGGGTGACACTGATCAAGTTTTACCATAATTTATTATCAACTAGATAAATAAATATATTATAAAAGAATAATAAATGCGTTAAATATAGTAAAATATAATAGGTGTATACCATTGTCTGAATGGACTATTGAATCTTTTCGCACTCACAGTCAACGTCTCTCTCTCATTTCTATTTTCTAAAGTTATATTTTTTGACATTCCTTGGGTCTTTTTTTTATATTATAGGACTGTAGAATTTATTTTCTGACCAGTTAAAGCGATTTTATTGTACTGTATTTTTATATTCTTTTAAATACTTATAAATGTTTAATATGATTGAACAGACAATTATGTTTTTATAATTATTTGAAATTCACTACTTTTTAAAGTAAGATGTATTTTAAGCTGAAAACTTATAAGTTACAACTAGAGACATCTTATGGTAGCTAATACTTAGATATTAGCAGATATAACAAAAAACTTAATAAAATATATCTAAATCTACACTGAGACGTTTCAGTGCGGTTTTTTATTCTTTGTCTCATCTTAAGATAAAGAGAGATGTATTTTTCTTTCTTTTTTTTATCACACTCAATATCAAAACAAAAGTGAATAACGGCGAATAAAAGTACCATAAAAAGGTAAGCAATAAGCATATATGTATAGACATATATTACAAAAATATTTTTCCTTCTTCCTTTTAAAGGAGAAAATAGTTTAATTGTGTTTATATAATATTATATATTGATAAAAATATTATCATAATATTATATAATATCATATGCATTACACATATTTATCATAATATATAAACACATACAGCATTTTACTGCAAGAACCGCCTATAATTATGCGGTATAGACTTATCTATTTTTCTTTAAGTAATAATTCTAGAAAATAACTAGAAAATACCCCAATAAAATCATCCGAATGATTTAACTTTTAACAAAGTTGCTGATAATACCTTATACCATAAAAACCATAAATAAAATGGAATTGTATAAAAAGAAATAAAAATAGTAGTTATTACTATATAAAGGAACACTGCCAAAATCAAAAGTTCTAGAGTACCACCTAATCGGTAATAAAAAAATTAATATTATATTAACAGAATCTGATAATGAATCTCTTAGTGTATTCAGTTCAAGCATAATTATTAACTTTAATATTATAAATTTGAAGTATCAGCCTACGTTGTAACTTAATTATGCACAACGATTAAGTATAAGAAATGATTATTCAACCAAACATAAAACACAAATACATTTATTTAATATTAAAACTTATTTTATTCGCAATAAAATTGATATGGTTCATAAGTCATTACATTTTTTCAGACTTTAAAATGAGTAGCATGACATCAGGCTAAAGATAGATATGCAAAATAAATTTGATTATAATGTAACTTCAATCAGTTAAATTAAAGCCAAGAATTAGTGAAGTTGTTGGAATCAATATAGGAAAATACTTTCATTAACCAATCTATGAAGCCGTCATTCTAAATAGTTGTCAATTAAATACAAAATGACCTTCGCTGTTTTAATAAAATGACTAAACATTAAATAATATCAATGTTAATTGTGATAATAATACAGAGCTAAATTCTGCCTTTAACAAAAACATAATTAATAACAACAACCATGAAACAAACTCGATTTATAATACATTTATAGATACAATTAATACTAAACTGAGTAGTGATTACCTAACAATAAAAAAAAAAAAAAATAAATAAATATTATCATTAAATAAATAAACTATTAATATGAAATACATTTTATAAAAATTAATATTAAACATCAAATATTATATTATTCAATATTTCACATTAATTTTATTTGAAATATTTTTATTTTAATTTTTTTAAACAATATTACATGTAACATGTTTTATTAAATATTATTATTGTTATTGTCATGTGTAACAGGAACGTAGTCGTGACGATCGTTGAACCGCCGCCGCCGTTGCCACCACTGGCAGTAGGAAACTATAGAACGAAAAGCCACTAAACCCATACGCCCCTGGTACTCGGGGACTCGGTTTCGGGAGATCTAATGTAATACTGATGTGCGCGAGTGGTCTGAACAGGTCGAGTCGGGTGATTCTGGTAAGAAACTATACAACGAGAAGCCACTAAGGCCATACGCCCCTGATACTCGGGGACTCAATTTCGGGAGATTCAATGCAACACCAATGTACGCGAGTGGTCTGAAGTCTGAACAAGTCGCCAGGTAATTCTGGTAGGAAACTATACGACGAGAAGTCACTGAACCCCATACTCCCCTGATACTCGGGACTCAACTTCGGGAGATCTGATGTAAACGTATTTTAGTGTTTAAGAAGAGCCGCATATTGTGTTGTCTCCGTCTTACATTTTCGTTCAACAGAATCCATTTTATGTTGTTAGCTTTTTACATTTGACTAAATTTACCTACTACCAAACTTAAAGATAAGAATTTTATCTAGGCAATGACATATGCTTTTATTAATATTACTATATAGCGGCCGGTGAAATTCGATTCCGGATTTGTAGAAACCGCCTTCGAGGGAATCGAGTGAAATTCTCTGTAAGTGAATACCCTAGTTCGGAGACAGGACTTGAGAAAAACCGTTGTTAGAAAAGCTTAGTGCCTTGGCAGTCAATAGTTATGTCTCATGACGAAACCGGTGATAACGATGTTTGCACCACTGATTATTGGTGGCTCTACACTTTGGCAGTATCGTTTTAAACGCTTAAATAAAAGTCTATGAAAGTACTGAAAGTCGAATTCAAGTGTCTAGCGGTCGGTTATCACAGATAAAATACACCTTGTTCCGTCGTTTGTCCGGCGCTTTCGTGTACATGAAATAAATAAATACATTACGAAAACAGTAATTGGGGGTCTAGCTATCAGTCATCACTCGGTGTATGTCAATCGCGTAAAACAATCTTAGTCGATTAATTAGTTAAACGGATTAAAACTTCCCAGGTAAGCAATCCGATTGCGTCGGATCGCAGACAATGTTATCGTAAAGGGAAAATTGTAAATTTAATGAGTACCTATACAACGTGATTAACGCATTATAGGAAATACATGCCAAACTCTAGAAAGTTGTTAAGTAGTGGTAGTCAATTAAAAATCAAAACAAAAATTATATATTTACACCCATAAATTTGCATTATGAATCAGTATTATTATAATTTTGTATTTTATTAGACAGGTATCTGCTAACACAAAGTGTAAAACCTGTTATATTTTACCAAGCAATGTAAAATTAAATGTGATAACAAATTTATGCAAATAATTAAATGGTGGGTGGTAGTCCTCACTTATTAATATAATTTCATATTATAAATAAAATACATAATAGCAAGGTTGTGTAAAGCATTAGGTACTGTATTCATACATAGTTTTATACATTGTATTTAAAAATTAGGTATTTATTTGTAATATAAAACTATACAAATTATTATTTAAATTCATGCAAAAATTAAAATCTTATATAATTATACTTGAATATTCATTCAATATGTAAACCTGGAAGCTATAAATTATACTCTAACTCATTTATTTTTATTCTTATTATATTAGGTGTATTACATGCATTTGTTATGATATTCACACCGAAATTACGAAAAAAATTAAATATTCTTGACCTTTGTGACAAAACACATAATAACAACGTTATATAAAACATTAGGTGCTGTGTTCATACATAAATACATATGCATAAAAATTGAAATCCTGTAGAATTATAGGTAGGTACTTAAATATTTAATGATATTATACATGATGCTGTAAGCTAAAAATTATACTCAAATATTATATTTTATATTCAACAAACTCACAGTCGCTTATTATTACAACTGACCTAAAATGCAATTAAAAGCATTATGACAACGTTAAAAGCAAAACTTTTGCCATTCATTGTACTATATTATAAGAATCTGTTAAATTGTTAAATCTAACGGATGTCATTTAACGACGGGTTTGTCAGCAATGTGATCCATTGTATGCACTATGTTTTTACTCACATAAATGTATTTTATAGTATAAAATATACTATCGAGACAGTAGGTACCGTGCGATATACGAATACTATAGCGGTCATGGAGGTATTCCGAAGGTTAAAAAACCGAAAATAAAA